ATAGCAGCAGCAACAAGCACCTCTCAGGGGGAGGCTGGGGGACAGCATGTGGTGGTAGCAGGGGCCTGCAGCGGGGAGAAGCCAGCGACCAGGCAGCAGGGGAAGTGGATGATGGTTTGTTTTTTTTCCACTGGATTTCCCAGGATGCCATCCTTCAAAATCGAGAGCTCTGGCTATTGATCAAAAATAAATTTGGATTCTGTTCGAAAAGTCAATATAGGACCTGGCAAAGGAAGCTGGCAGAAGACCCCACCTGGCCTCCCACAAACAGGACGGACTATTTAGGCGACGGCCAAAATGGGTTCTACATCAACCGAGGCTATGAAAGCCCTGAACAGATCCCAAAGGGAAAGCTCCAACAGGGAGGCCAAACCACAGAACAGCATTTTTGGACCAGACTGTAATCAGAATTGTTGTTGTACATGCTTAACAGCATCCCCTTTTCCCCAGAAACTACAGCACTGTGGAGAGGTGAGGGTAGCTTACCCTTATCTGTTCTCTCTCCAGCTGAGGACTCAAAACACATTTCTCAGTGTACTGAGCTTTGCAACAAAGAACCTTAACGATGCTTATTTTGACTGTATCCTACCCTTTACCACTGAGGAGAAAAAATACATTGCCTGGATTATCTACTTTTTTAAAAATAAACTTTATTCACATTACATAGCATTATCCTGGTTAAAATGTACAGCTTTTCACAGTAGTGAAATTAATGGTATGAACATCAATTTTTAAAACAAGGAAAATTAAAAAGAATCTGGTCTTTGAAAGTTTCACAAATATATTTTTATTTTCATCTACAGAAATAAAGCATTTGAAAAACACACCCTTCTCTGAATAAACTGTCACAAGTTTACTTAACCTTACATTCACTTGAGAAGAACATTTATGTACAAGTATTTTTCCAAGGTCACGAAATTCCTTTTTGCTCCTTTTGTACAGTTGTAAGAGAGAAACAAGAATTGACATTTACTTAGAAAATTCAGCTCTGACTGTGGTGACCTGGAGCTGTGTGGCAGTGGAGAATGATGGAGGTGTCTGTTTATCGCATATAATCTTGGCGTGGGCACAGCTAGCTTTTAAGCAAACTGCACCAAAGACGGCATTTCCCAAAACATATTGTTTTGGGGCCAATGAGCTATGTCCAGAGTCGATCACAAAGGTAATGAAATAAACGGTTAAAATGTACTTTTACATTAAAGAAGCACTGCACCTCTATTTACTCTTCATTACTGACAGGTGAAATCCTTAAATGGTTGTTGTTTTTTTAACTCTAAAAGTTGGCCCGAAGTCCGTATTACTCATTTTAAAACACAATCCTAGGGGAGGGATGGACCCATAATGTTTGTATCTACACCATGGCAATTTTCAGGCTACTAAACAATCTTACATTTCATTTCATCTTTTCATTATCTAAATCAATGCACATTAACAGCTATAAGAAGGGGTCCATCCTTTACAAATATATTGTGTACACTATTCTCTTTAGTACATATCAACTCCACTGTGACCTGAGAGGACATTTATTTCTAGTGAACATTGTGTATTATCTACTAGGCATTATTTGTAACAATAAATCGAATTCTGCTAACTTAACAGAACTTCAACAGTTCATAGGCAATTAGGTAACCATCCCATTCCATGAGTGCCAATTATGTGCCAAACACTGATGTATGCTTTTAATAGTGTATTTATAATTCTGAAACCTTTAGAAGTAAAAAACAATTTTTACATTTCATCAATTTGTTTCTGTAAATAGGACTAAAGGCTTTGTTACACAAACCAACAGCATTGATGCAAATTTTTATAAAAACAACCCTTTATATTTACATTTTATTTGCAAAACCTTGTTTTTACTTTGGTGCACAGCTCTTGGAAAATGATAATTTTCAAAATGTGTCTTATTTAGTGTCTACTAATAAATGATAAGAAGATAAAATATATTTATCTTATGGTTAAAAATTGTATGTCAATATAAAAAATATGTAACTCGGGCATTTCATAATTTGACCATTAGCACGGGAGGATTCAACTTATACCCTATGACAGATAGCATAAACAGGTTTCTTAAAATCTTGATTTAATAAATGTACACCTTTTTTTTTGCCCCAGTTTTTCCAACAACATTTTTGGTATCTGATAGGTGATCATTTTATTTCACAGATTTCTTTGAAAGTGGAATATGTTAAAGTTGAAGTCTATACTTAACTTTGCTAAATATATGCTCAGAGAAAGGTTTAATAGTCTTGGGGAAAAGCTTTGATAAAAGCAAGAGCATGGCCATATATCAAATGATCACCTATTGCAGCGATTTTCAACCTTTTTCATCTCGTGGCACACATAAACTGATTGCTAAAATTCTGTGGCAGCCAAAAAATATATGTTTTCCTGATCTGACAACAAAATAGGTATAATTTTGATTCATTTACACTGATGGCTATTGTTGTGTTGGCTGTTGTCATTTTTTTTTATTTGACAATCTACGGGAAAAGAGGTCGGTGCCCCTGACTAAATAGTCGGGTACTGCATGTTTTAAAATTTCCTGCAGCACACCACACACTGGTTGAAAATTGCTGATCTATAAAAAAACTGCCCATCAACAGGAGTGGCCATTTTTATGGGAACACTGATGGCTAACTGTGAGCTTACTTTCAAGGGTGAAAATTATTGGAGCCTTGAACACTACCTATGTGAAAAATTAATCCGTAAATTTATAAAAGTTCATAAGTGAAATAAGCCAGTCAGAGAAAGACAAGTTTCATATGATCTCACTTATATGTGGAATCTAATGAACAAACTAAACTGATGAACAAGATAGATCCAGAGACATGGAAGCATGGAACAGACTGAGGAATCTCAGACAGAAGGATGGAGGGGGGACAGGAAGAGATTAACCAAAAAACTTATATGCATATATGCATAACCCATGGACACGAACAATAGTAAGGTGAAGGTGGGTGGGGGTGGAGCTCTGGGTGGAGGGGGGTCAATGAAGGGACAAAGGGGGACATCTGTAATACTTTCAAACAATAAAGATAAATTTAAAAAACTAAAAGTGCATTTTTGGCATTATCTAGCATGTCTTCTGAAGTGGCGAAGTCCAGAGTTCTTTAGAAAGGTTTGACATGAGTTATTCTTAGGTCTGTTCTCACGTCTGCTCCCTCCCCCATCCACCAATGCTTTAATTCCACCACACCCAAGACTCCTGTTTTGGGTTAAGATTTGCCCTCCAAAGTCACTTTTATTAAAAGATAAACACATCTTGGGAGAGGTAATTAAACCACCATCAGTCTCACCCTAATTTGACAATACTAGAAAAGAGCTCATTGTTTTAAAACTATTACTCGAGGACAGGACATAAAAGAAACAGGAAACTAAATTTAGAAAAAAAAATGAATGAGTATTTTTAGATCATGGTATCTGGTAGGAGACTTCCATTACCCCCCTCCCCCAGGTCCACTAGAGGAAGGGAGATGCCATAAGATTGAAAAGGGAAAAGTCAGGGACCAAGGAAGAAGAAGAGAAAAGATCTCTACTGGCTCTGATTGCAGTACATGACCCCTTCTGTTACCACTATTCTTAACCCTGCAGCTAAACTGTAGAGTATTTTTGGCCCTGGGGTAAAATCTAAATCCGTTTAATAGGTTCAAGTCTTTCTTTGAGTCTTCTGTCCCTTTATCTATCATACTAAAGGCCCAGTGCATGAAATTTGTGCACAGGACAGGGTCCCTCAGCCCGGCCTGTACCCTCCCGCAATCCAGGACCACTGACCGCATGAAATTTGTGCACAGGACGGGGGTCCCTCAGCCCGGCCTGTACCCTCTTGCAATCCAGGACCACTGACTCCTAATCACTCACCTGCCTGCCTCCCTGATCGCCCCTAACCACCTCTGCCTGCTTGCCTGATGCCCCTAACTGCTCCCCTGCTGGCCTGAGCACCCCTAACCGCTCTCCCCTGCCAGCCTGAGCACCCCTAACTGCTCTCCCCTGCTGGCCTGATCACCCCTAACCGCCTCTGCCTTGGCCCCTGCCACCGTGGCTTTGTCTGGAAGGATGTCCAGAAAATGTCTGGTATATCCAGTCTAATTAGTATATTACCCTTTTATTAGTATAGATTCCTAGTTCCTTTATGGCACTCACCCTCAATGTTTACTTGAACTTTTCCTTTATCTAGTGCCATGATGTCATTGGCTGCTTGTGTGTTTTGTAAAGCAGTGCTATGCTACAATGTCCAATAAAATCTTAGGGTATAGAGACCTGCGACCATTTTTCACCACATGCTGCAAACAAGAATTCTACTAGAAAAGTATTAAAAGTAATTTGTTTCATTCAACACATAATCAATAAAATGCAAGAATAAAATCACAATGCTCCTTGACTTACAGTAAAAACCTTAAAAAAGTAACATGGGATATTGTTTTCTAAATATGGCCCCTTACACCTACTTTAAGGATCTCTTTCTAGGTTAAAATCCTTGAAATACTTCAAAATCCACAGGGAACAAAGTAGGTAAAAGTAACAGCCTATTCTTGTTTGTCACAGACTTCTGATAAATGAGTTATTTCCAGGGAAATCACTGGATCTGAAACACTGGAGCAAAAGCCCCCTTTCCCACCCATCCACGCAGGAGCGAAGGTTAGGTGTGCACTCTCAAATGGCTTGTTAATCAAAATTCCTCAAACTGCCTAGCCAAATGCTGAAGTTCCCAATTTCTTTTCTGATCAGAAAAGGAGTATGAATTTAGATGTCAACCCTAACAATTTGGAGGTATTCTCATTTTTTTCAAAATCACATATAATCTGTTCTTCTTCCTTCTGGCAAATACAAAATAGCCACCCTCAGGGAAAAGGAAACTTATATTTATAGTATAAGATAAAATATAATGTGATTTTGTTAAGATCCTCTGCTGAATCACTAAAAAGGTTACTGATTCTTGTCCAAACTGCCACAGAAAAATCTATGCTAGTAGGAAGAAAAATTTCCTTAGCTCAATGATGAGATAATATCAGTAAGCAATTTATTAAAGAGCCCGCCATCCATCATTGGAGTTTGAAACAATAATGATGCATTGAAAATAAGTATTCATCCCAGGGTGTTTCCTCCCCTCCCTCCCCGCTCCCCCCCCCCTCACCTCACAGATTTCTTCAGTCCCAATATCTCTTCAGTAAATTGTTAACAGTATTTAGCTCTTTGTCTTTTTGAAAACAAGCCCAGGAATGAGAAGGCTCCAGCAGCAGCTGTCACTAACCCAATGGTGCTTATTGCTCTGTTGGCCTATAAAGAAACGACAAGCAAACAAAAACACATTTTATTCTAAAGGCATCTCAGTATCCTAAACCCAAGCTTTAGGTTTCTTCTTTTTTAAAAAATATATTTTTATTGATTTCCAGAGAGGAAGAGAGAGGGAGAGAGAGATAGAAACATCAGTGATGAGAGAAAATCATCTATTGACTGCCTCCTACAAGCCCCCCACTGGGAATCAAGCCCACAACCCGGGCATGTGCCCTGACTGGGAATTGAACCGTGACCTCCTGGTTCATAGGTCGATGCTCAACCACTTGGCCATCCCGGTCAGGCTTTGGTTGCTTCTTAAACTGAAGACCCATCTTAATGTACAATGAATAAATTTAAAGCTCAATGCAAAATTTAAATTTTGTATGAAGATGGAATTTGTAATTTTTATAATTATGACAAAGATATAGATAAACA